CGGGCGTGTTCGGTCGACCGGTTCCAGCTGTAGCCATTTTGGCACGAAGCAGAGGAGACGTGAACGCCCGGTCTAAAAGGGCCTTAGTCGTCATGTCTCACATGTCTCACGTGCCGAAGCGGGCCGTTCAACACAGCATCTATGCTCCTTCCCATGAAGTGTCACCTCCGCTACTTGGTGGATGTGACAGTGATCACCACCAGTGGTGGTTGACCTGGGGGTCCACGGGATGGCATGTGTTCCACTCAAATCCGGGTCTAGCAAGACCTCAATCGACTGGTTCTGCATTTTCACGGACCCATGTAAAATGAGCTATGCTTGAGGTTTATATAGGTCTAGCAGGGTCTAGCTTCTGTCCATCATTTCATCATCCACTCCATGGGACTGCCATATTTGCTGATCAGCTGGGCGTTCCTCTTTTGGGGCTTCAGGTTCATATTGTCTAACGCCCTTCAGCACCCCACTTTGCTGAATGGCCGGACGTGGATGGTGCTGGACATGATTGCGCGAGTAGTGGGTTTTGGCGGTGTTTACTTTGATGATTCTTTGGAAGGATTCACCATTAGTAATTGCTTTGGCAAGAGCAGGTGATAGAACAATAGATATATAACGACTTGAAACACCTTTTTGTAGAGAAGATTTACTGTTCGAACATAGCACTCCAAATCGCTTCTTTGGATTTGCTTTCTTTTTTCTCTGAGCATGACCGAAGATCACCCCCCCCCACTCCTTTCGGCCAAAGGGATCCCCAAGAGGGAATGTGTTGGACAACAAATGTGAGAGCCTTGGGGGCAAACCCTGACAAAGAAAATTACAACCCCAAAACACCATATCATAAGTTAAATATCATAACTATACTTTTTCCATACCCTTTCGGGCCCATATTCAAAAGAACCGTCTCATCAATTGCTCAGAACTACACTGGACGGCGGTCCTTGGACTGCGATCATGAGTCGTGTGGCTGAAAATGCCATTCGGTTTCACCACAAGGCTCACTTGACCAGCTTATACCATAACCCTGCGGTCCTGCAGAGCAACAATTGACACTTTCCTTCCTGATATGTGAAAGACATATCGATTTCAGATTTGTGTCATATATCTTTGATATAGATCAGCTCAGATTCTCCAAACTGTCCTTGCCCCTCAAAATCACGAGGATTTGAGACCCTTCAAAGGATGGCAGCTGGGAGACATGTTGACATGCAATTTGATGCACAGTGCATGTGGCCAGCAAATCCAAAAAAAGAACAACGCCTGTGCTTCAAATTTCAACCTCACCAATCTCCATCCTTCCAAGCAATTCACCCGGATGCTTGATGATGACCTTGAGGTGCTTGAAACCGGGCCAGACCGCGTTAAATCCCAGCGGTTTGTACACCGCGGAAGCTGCCGAGAAGGGCTTCAAACACCATTTGCCGCCGAAGCTCCTTGAGGACAAGCTGCTGTTGCTGTCAAGGCACAGACTTTGCGTCAGGCCACCAGATTGAGCGAAATGGAAAACCTGTTACCAGCACCCTCATACCAATTTGATGATAGTCATGTGTTGCCCACAGTGAAAGTCGAGGTCAACCTGAGAGCTCAATGCCGGCACGAGTCCTTTTCGATCATCCACTTGTGTTTGTGTGTGTGTGTGTGTCCACCCCTGGAAAAAGGGCTCCTTTCACCATTTCCATCAAGCAGGGGAGTATTACCTATGGCAGTGGACCACCATCACTCACTGCCCAACGAAGACAGTGATGGATCGGTCGTGAAGCAATGCGGGACGCCGCATTGTGTACCTGCTGAGTTCTCTCCATGCTGTGACTCCACTTTCCACGTTTTTGGTTCATGGTTCTTCATGATACTTCCCCAAAACCTTCCCTTTGCCGCGTTTGTTTTGCAGCTGGGCCGCGCCGACCGATCGTGCAGCAGACTTGACCAACAACTTGTTGAAACACCTACAAGTCTTTCGGACTCTTCACCATGCCGTTCCATCGCCTTCCTTCCCATTGAGACAATTGCGTTAACTGAAAACCCAAGTTCGAAGTTCGAAGTGTGTTTGTGTTTTATGTTCTAACATGTGGTTGCAATTCTTTTTTGTTTTGGGATTTGTTCCCACTTCAAACAAACAGGTGGAGAAAGAGGGTGAGGACCCAAGTTTTCTCTTGCGGATAAAGGCACCATATCAAGCCCTAAATGAGGCGTTTTTGTGGGGTCATCCGCCCCAGTATGCCCTACCAGAAGTCTTCCAAGTGTGGCTTTTAGACATCCCAAATCACCTCTCAGGATCAATTTGATAGACACCCCCGAACGGAGGGTCCTGGTACAAGTTGGATGCCGGTGGCGCATTTTCCCAGCGCCGTCCTAGACTTGACGTGTACCGTGAGCGTTCTCAGACGGTCAAACCAGCTGTTTTGATGCATTGCTCCCCAAACGGGTCGTGTCTACACGTGTGAGTCCCTTTTTGCCGCGACTGCAGCGCGAAAAAACGGCCGTGTACGCAGACGCGCCCGCCGTACGGCGGGGCGCGTTTCTCCGCGAGGATCGGCAGATCGAGTCGGAGTATGTGAAGCACGTGTGCTCCAAGCCCAGCCCAAGCGATTACCGGGGTCTCATGCTGCTTTCGGCGGCCCGAAAGGAGAGCAATCAGAAGGAAGGCAGCACGCCCTTTCGTGCGTACCCGTGGGTCGTTTGGGGCAGATCATGTTCTAGACATGGTCGATTGTGGCCTCCCACAGTGGCTATTTGGACGGTATTCCACAAATCAATGAGTGTTTTCCTGGTGGAATGAACATGAATGAACCCTTCTCTGTTTCTTCCGGGTCAATTGCTACAAACGTTCATGGCACCTGAGGGTTGGCCCAATTGACTCAGTTGACCGAGGCAACGAAACAGAGTTCATCCTGCAGTTGGGTCAATGCGCCACCAGTTGCGATAAGAAGGTCCCTCTAGAAGTCTGTCTATCCACACTTCCTCATGTGCAACAACAACCCACAAAGAAAAACCTTTCGGCCGTCCATCAGATGACTCGTCGAGACGCCGCTCCAGCACTGCTTCGGCAGTTTGTTCCATACCGCTGCAGGCGGTACCGCTCACTGGCGCTCCGAAACGCAATCGGCCACGAGCGCCGTGCGCAGCGGGCAGCGCGTCAAGCCCCAGCGCACGGCGCAGCAGATCCTGGCCGAGCGGGTGGTGAGGACGCCGAGGCTGGTGGTCTGACGTGGGCGGAAGAAGCGACCGGTGAGGTGGGAAGAAAAAGGCGATTCAAGGAGGGCGGCCATTCAAGAGCCTATTCAAAACCACTGAAGCGGCCATTCAAGGATTGCTATAGAATTGCTTCAGTGGTATTATATAGGCTGATGAATTTATTGATTCTCATGCAGCTATAAGAGTCAGGGAAGGGGAGGATAACATGGCTAACTGAGTATAGCGGCCCCAAACCCACAGGCTGTTGATGAATCAACCCTCCATTTGGTGTGTACACCAGCCATATATACGCCATATTTTGCATGTGGAATCTTTGCTGTTTCACGTTTCGCATGGAGATGCGCTTCCAAAAGCTCCAAACCTGGAATGTTGCTGGTGTATGGAGCTCCACATGGAAGGAACGTAAGGATCGTTTTGTGTTCGGGACCGGGTGCTTTTGGGTCGCCCGGCAGGAATTGGTCTTGCTATTGTTTTCCTTTGAAGAGGGAGGTGGAGTTCTTTGGAACAACCCCAGTGTCGAACAATGTACACATATTCGAGGACCTGGCGAAAAGAGGGCATTGATACAATCCGGACCAGGCAGTGAATGGAAGAGGAAGAAGTGGTTCTGTTGGACATCAAAACCACTAAGTTCTGCATGTGAAACACTTGCTTCTCATATGAAATCTGCCTTACAGCAATAGGTTGCTCATGGTAGATATCATGATCAACTAAGAAGTTGAAGGCAACGACCCTCCACCTGCATCCTGCAGCCTGCAAGGAACTGACGTTCCACTCTTCATAGTGTCAATGGCCTTTCTTCGTTTCCCTGTTTGTTCTCGATGTTTCCATTGGTGCTTTGCCAGTGTCCATGCTTGTCCCTTGGGCATACATGGGTGTGCACTGTGCCAACGGGCTCGGCTGGACCCGAACTAACTGTTGGTTCGGTCCAAAACCCTAGATGTGAGGGTCAAGACCACCGCGAACTGGCTGTTATTTGTTGAGCCTTTTTGGCCAGTCAACAGATGCGTTTTATGTCACTTTTTTTTGGGGGGGGGCGGTTTTCCGTCGGAGCCGCTCAGGTGTTGCATGAGCCGAGTGCAGGACTTTACCTGCAATCAGGTGCGTTTCAGACCTCGAAACCGTCCGAAACCGTTCCGTGCATGGTGAATCTGCTTCGCGGTGCCTGTGGCACATGTTCAACGCGTGAGGGCCTCCATGTTCGACGCGCTCCACGTGCGTCTGAACCCTCCGTGTTCCGCTCCCGTTGTCGTGTTGGCAGGCGGAGTACGGGCGCAACGGGTGCAATCCGAGAGACAAGATCACCCCAGAGGAGCGGAGCGGAACGACCTCGGCGCTCTGGACATGGGCGGGGGGACATTGCATACAATGTTTGGGGTGGTGGACCATGTTGACCTGGTTTGAATTCCACTCCCAGGCAGGTCGTGTTTGGGAGTTGGACGGATTTGGGGAAGGAGCACAGCGGTGAATCCGAGACAGCGGTGACTCCGATAGATGTGGGGAACACCACCATGGGAATACCCGTGCCAGGCAGCTCAGACTGGTTGACTGCGGATATTGGCTGGGGGGGCACAGTTTCCTTACAATTTTTTATATGTTTGCAAGGCTTGAGTGAGGAGAACCAGCTACTCGTACCAGCTGACATACACCAACACCTCCCAGGCCCCAGGAGGACCTGCATTTTGGGCGGTTTTGTTGCAAAAGCTTCCCTGTCACTTTTCTATCTGTAGTCCCTCCAGAGCAATGAACACCTATTGGTTGGGGGTTCTCCCTCGTGAAATGCCATGAAATGCTGCTGGAGCGAGGATACCACCATGCCGTTCTTCAAGAACGACCTCACTGCTGGCAGCACGAAAGGTACCAACCACATCCCGGGCTACCAGGGTCGCTCACCGACAATGGGTGGGGAAATATGCAGAGGAAGCGAGTGGTGGTTATAACGTCACATATAGAGTTCATTGGGAGTTTCATTGGCATAAACATTTCAATGTTCACACAATATGTGAACACATACAACATCATACAACTTAAGTCTGCCATGGGTTTGACATTCCTGGTTGCCGACAAAAATGCGTCGCACTTCATCCCCTCCATTGTGCGCGCAGATCAATTTGAAACTGATGTCGGAGCGCCAGGCGCAACCTGTGACACCCCCCCGGCCCAGATGAGCGGCAGAGCTCATGGTCAAGCTGTGACAAGTGCTTGCTCAAGTAGGACAGGGCGCCTCATGTTTGTGCCAACATCTTGGCGATGTCAAGGTTTGACTTACTTGCTTGGCAGCCAAGCAGCCATGGCCGCACCGTCCGCTCAAGTCAAAGAGTCTGTCCGCTCTCGTTCCGTGTTCTTTCAACCCACGTTTGGGCATTTGTGGCCCCAAACCAGAGCGTTTGCAACTGGTGCTTGGTAGCAATGGTCGGTGAACAGAAGCAGATCCCATCCCTCTTCGTCGTAGCGTCTTGGAGCTAGGGCCTAGCGGCCTAGCTAGCGGCGCAGAGCTGGCCACTTTGAACTTAAATGTGTTGTGTCCAAACTATTTGTGACGGTTATCCCAATCAAGTATTTAGTTTGCAACATGTGGATTTGATCTTAAGCTCAAACCAGAGAAAGGAGTGTCTACAAGCCTTGCCGGGCGGTGGGCCGAGGTCGTGGCAGGGTCAGGATCGGTCAGACGGGCATCCACAAGCTGGGTGCCATGAACACACCCAGCTTGCAAATCGATTTCGTGTGCTTCTGATTTCGTAGTGATTTCACATGTTTCTGTTTGCCACACCTTTTTCACTGAGGTAGTGTTCCCACTTACCCTGGCTTTAGCGAGAGCCACCTTCGCGCCGCGGGCGGCACTCAGCCGAGATCGGTGGACAAGACCAATATCATCCACATCTTTCACCGGGAGAGACGGAACTCGCGGTCGGACAAAGCGCAGGTTCTTTTGGAACGTCAACTCGTCCACTCCGGTGCGAAGGGTCACTCTGCTGGAGTTCCAGCACCAGTCTAGAACTTGGGTCTTTCGGGGAAGCTGATCCAACAAGATGAATTCAACGAGCAGGAAGCACCTTTCCTTCGGGACACCTGCAGGAGAGAGATCTCAAGGACGTGACAAAGTCCATGTCTTTTCTCAGAACACGGTTCAGGTAATTAATTACGGAAACCCTAGAAAAGAAGTTCTGTGACATGCAAAGAGCTCAACAGTGGTCTTGGACACACTGTGAAGGGATGTGGAAGATGTCCAATATATAGTTTCCATATATATCGTATCAGCTAATTTTGGCAACTGAAGCTCCAGGCTGATGTCCGGTAGGAATAGAACCCCAAATATTATAGAACTCAAGCAAAACAAAACAGAAGCAGACATGGGTACAGACAGAAGGAGCTAGAATAAAGCAGAACAGAAAGGAACAGAGAAGGCCAACAGGAGCCCGTAATTAGTATACCTGGGTCTTCATAAGTATGCATGTTTTTTCTGCCTGTTCAATCAAAACTGCTTTTTCAAACAAACGCCAACTATTTTGCACTGAAGCACTTTTTGCATTGACATGTTTTCCATGGTAAGTCAAGGTTTTGAAACGGCGACTTTTCCCAACCAAATGGCGACTTTCCCCGACCAAACGGCGACTTTTGCCAACTGCTAATTTGGCAACCTCTGTAAAAACATTGAAACGGCACTTTTGAAATGAAACGGCGTTTTTGACGGCAAACGACTGAAATTTGTGATGTTTCGCCAAACGGCAGAAAAAAACACACCCGTGGAAGGTCCAGGTATACTCATACGGCAGCCGACTGTCAACTGTCGCTTTTAGTTCACCTTCCATCGGAAGCATGTTCATTAGGCGACTCGGATCCAGGAGTTGGTGGGCTATGCGGGCCACGTGCCGGAAGCTGCTTGCAACGACCTGGGCGGGCGCCAGCCCACGGATCTCACCACCTTTGGCCACGACTTCAAGCCTCACACGGGCGCGCTGGGCTAACTCCGTTTTCGACGCTCGGGTTCAGCGGACGCATGAGGCGTGGTCGTTTTCGGAGAACGAGTTTTCGGAGAACTGGCATCGCTTCGAGTTATCTTTTTGGTGATGTTTGGCACCGTTGTCCAAGAGGAGTCTTTGGATATTTGAGCCAAGAGAGTTCTGAGGGCGGATGTTAATTGTTAATTATAGCATCAATATGCATCAATTGTAATGGCAATGGGACACCCTCCCTGCAACAATCATGGTTACGTGGATGACATGGCCCCTTGGAATACCAAGAGGGGGGTTGTTCACTTTCATGTTTGCTGCGGGGTGGGTCAGACTCGGGAGGCTAGGGATCCTTTGGATTCACCCATCATGATGACAACAGTCGACCTGTGAGGATCTGTAAGACCTTGCTGAACCTACACTCTTTATGAAGGAAACAATCATTTCGGAAGTGGATGAGACCACCACCACCTGAGACTGGTCTTCGCGACAACTCATGGTCATCCGAAAACGGAGCCATACCATCCACGGCCCATGATTCTTCCAGGAAGTGTGACACTCGGTCCCGGAGCCCGACCGTGGAACACGGGCTTGCGCCGCCGGCATGTCCGCTGCGATCGGAGGGACCGCGCTTCGTCGAAGACGATCCAAGGACCAAGATGGTTGGAAGGACCGACCGCGCCGGGAGAGGAAAAATGGAGCATCCTCCGTCTTCAGTCCTTGGACGGGGTCTTTGGGTGTGGGACATTGGTCAAATCCCAAGCTGCAGGAGGTTTCCACCAACTCATTGTGATCCGACGGACCAGAGTTGTCCGTGGTTCTCCGAGGTTTTGTGGTCCAGGAGGTTTCTGGAAACACCATGATCAGGTCACAGCTTTCTTTAATAGTGGTTTCAGAATAGATGGCACAATCTCCAAAAGGTGGTTTACCGTATATGGATCCCCATCTAAAGACATCTTCGGGTTTGTGCCATCTACTCTGAAGCCACCTGAAACCACTGTAATTGTAATCCTTTAGACACCACGTCAACCATCCGATTGGGAAACTCACTGAAAAACCCACGCTCCGCGATGTAATTAGGGCCTTTTTCAGACAGCTTGCGTGCGAACAAAAAGAAACACATGTTTTTTTGATCCCGGTTTTTCAGATGTTCTTTTGGCGATTCTCCACCAGATGCTGGGGCGTGGCTCATGATGCTCATGGTTCTCAAGCAACTCCATTGGCCACAAGAACTGCTTGGGCCCCTTCGGTCAGAAGTGTCGCTGATGAGGCCACTGACTAGAAGGGTTACATTTAACCACCCAGTCAGTGTTTTGGACTACAGTAAGACATCCGGAGCATCAAATGGAAAAGCTTTTCAGTTTCCAAAGCCCCGCGATGTAGGTGTTTGTCGGTGTCCGTCGGTGAGCTGCGTTTTGCAGGTCCCCATTTGGTGATCTCACCCATGAGCACACTGCAGCATTGGCCCGGGTCCCGGTCCAGCAAAAGCTATTCGGAGTTGTTGGAAGTGTTAGTTGGAGTGTTTTGTGGTGTTGGAAGTGCTAGATATCATGTACTCAACATGTCCTATAACCTTCCAGTCTCATGGTATAGACTTGGAAGGATGTTTTTTGCAACTCTTACTCTTACTCTTTACGGGGGCCTTTGATGTTTCGGGGGAAGGCGAGGGCATCCAGCAGCTCCATGCCCGGTTCCTCTCAGCTGCGGAAGCAGCTCAGTCCCAATGTGCGCACCTCCTGGGCCAATCGGGGGGGGGCGGGTCCTTCATAGCGATCTCAGCCAGTAGTGTACAAGGTGGTCCTGGTATGTCCTGTTGCACTCATTACCATGGATAGCAAATTGGGCCCTGGAAGCCAAGAAACGTCAAAGCATGCCTTACAGGTTCATGAGCTTGGCATGACCAAGGTCCCTCTTCCCCTGAGTCAGCTTGGATACCCCCCATCCAAGCGCACCATGTCACCATCCAGATTGCATATTTGATTTGGTTCTCCTGCTACGACAGAGTCACACCAAATTCTGCCATGGCGGCTGTGCGACATGAGCATTGCTTTCTGTATAATTTGGATCCGGAGGCCACAGCAGCAGTCACCCAACAAAGCCAACCCACCAAAACCAAGCACGCCTTCCAATTAAACAAAAAAATAACGTCCTGTTCGCTGCCGCTGGACCCCTCCCTTCGCCGGCGCCTCGGCCTCGGCCTGCCTCGCTGGCCTCGCTGGCAGCGAAATCGCAGCGCCGCGCAGGTGCGACGAGCTGCTCCAGTGGTTGCCCTCCTTCCGCTTCCTCGTCTATCGCGGCTCCGCCGCGCAGCTGGCCGCCGTGGAGAAGGAGCGCGGCGACGCGGGGCGACCTGTGGCGCGACCTGGTGCGGTGCCGAAAGTATACCTGGTATACCATCGGCCAAAAAGCTGAATACTACTGAGTTGAAAGTATTATGAATTCATGTTGAAAAGCGTTCAAGAGAAATAGAAGATGTAGTTTCTAATGGAGAAGGACTGAACAAAGGCTGTGGAGAGCTCAAGGATTGAGCACCAGGACCATCCAAATGGGTCTCCAATGGGTCTCCGGTGTCGCTCTTCAATAAGGAGGTCACAGTGTGCATCGCAGGAGGCGGTGGGCGGCGGAAAGGTGAACATCATCCTCACGAACTTCGAGGTGCACAGCTTCCCTTTCTGAAAGAGATCGAACAAAAGCAGTTAGCTGCTAGCTATATATAGAGAAGAACCAATATATAACTATCAAGTGATAGTACATCTTCGTGAATTGCTTCGGGGAGCCGCGACGTTTGACGTCTCAAGTCGGCTGTTGACCATGCCCAAAAGGGTTTGTATACTGTTTCATCGTGGACCCCTCTGGCCGCATCGCGGGTTCGTGGAAAAAACGGTGGCCGACCCTGTCTCCCAAAGTGAACATTGATCATTCCGCCGGGTTCGAAGGAACGTCTGAAGAGAGAACATGGCCGTCCAGATCTGAGAAGTTCACGTTCGGACCTCGTTCACACCGTGTGTGTGTGTGTGTTCGTGTGTTCGTGGGGCTTCGTGTGTGATCAGACGATGGCCCACCACGACACCTTCCTGAAGAACTTCCCCTGGTGCTGTCGGCGACCCCAGAAAGAACCGGGCACGATCGACGCGCGCGGCGCGGTGGAAGGATGGCGCCTGGAAGAAGCTCATGGTCTGGTACAACATGGTACACCCTCGGGCTCCAACCACCTCCTGACAAGATGGTTGGGGTGGGTGCCCGGGGGGTCTAACCACTGGAGCCCTAGGGACGAACCCTCCTTATCCATCTTGAGCCTGCATGATCAAGATCTTCCTGGATGAATCCTCCTCGATCCAGGGGAGAGGTTGTTTCGTCCGGTGTTTCTAACACCGCAAACATCCAGGATAGTCTGGATAGGATCAAGTCTTGATGGCTTGGAGTCAGTGCCTTTTTGTGGTCTTGGAGCTCCCACATCTTCATCAATTGAACTCAATGTTCAATTCAGTTTAACTCACCTGAAGGATCAATCTTCATCTTCAATTTGAATTGATTGTTCCATTCATCTCAATGGATACTCCGCCAGCAGTTCCGCCAGCGCAGGGGCACCATTTCCCAAAGGTTCGGAAAGGACCCGTAGACAGTTTTGGGGTGTTGGGACCGAAGGAAACAATATATTAGAAATTGGTTCGGGGCCAAACGGGTCGCCTCTGTTTCTTTAATTCCTATTATATAACTTATAAACCCTAGGGCTCAAACATGCTCAAACCATATCCTCAGAAAGGCGGTCAGACCCCACCCTAACCACCATCGCAGGTGGTAGGAGCCCCTTTGGAAAATGGTGCGTCGGTGTTTGTCCAGAACTTGGAACAAAAGGTCCTTTCAAATGGGCCATCAACACCTTGGCACCCATGTTTCGCATACTGTACGCGCACTTCCTTTCGGCATGGGATGGCAAGCGCACTTGCGCTGTGCGACCTGAGGTCTCATCGTGGATGAAGGTCATCGGATCAAGAACTACAAGACCCACGCCAGCCAGGCCACCAACCAATGTTCCTCCACGCGTGCCCTCCGCGCCCGCGCGTGACCTGCCAGTCCCCCAAATTTGGTTCATAGCAGGAGCATCCTGTCTGGGTGTCCAATGGACTAACCTACACTTCTTATAGGGATGTCCCTTGGACACCCATTCTTGATGCTTTCTTTTCGTTTGCCCGGTGCGAACTGCGAACGAACGGCGCGCTGCGTCGGGTGTCGACGCCGTGCACCGCTGCGCAGGTCGTGAGGTCTTTGCCTTGCCGCCATCGGTTGCTGCTCACGGGCACGTGGGATGCCTCAGATGCACGTGGGATAAGGAGTCCAACCGGGCCCGTTGGCGACGATTGGTGAATGGTCCATGCAGAGAACCTGTACCTACAGCAGAGTGAGAGGTCACTTGTCTAGCTTTGCAAACAAGAAAGATCGAGAAACCACCCACCAACCTGTGGAACAGAAATCGGCTCAATCCATTTGGAACCTTCCGATCCTTTGACAGATCACCAGCGGCAGAAACGGAAGAAACAGTGGAATTGTTCAAGCTGCCGGCTGGATGGAGGGAACTCAATCGACACAATGACATGTGCCAAACAAAGAGTCCAAAAACATCCAATGACCTAACATCAGGATATTCTGTTTGCACACTTTTTTGACATGCTCGAACTAGATGATCATAAGGATGTGACAAGATCCCAGTATGTTTGAAAATGTTTGAAACAAGACAGTCAAGATGGTTTCCAGAAGTTTCGAATCATTGTTTTGGAGCAATCAACCTGGTTGACGATTGAAGTCTGCCAGTGATGAAGCTCAGCACGAACATCTGCCTGAGCACGTGCACTGGGGTGAAGGCATTTCACAAAACTGAATAGCCACCAATTAAGCTTGCAGTGGACGCCAGCTCAACAGTTTCAAGTCTGAGCTAATTAGACAAGGCAAGCCAGGCAATCATCAAGGATTGTGCCAGACATCAGGCGGCACCGAGTCACTGATCTACGAGGTTGCTC